GGAGTGAGGTGCCAGGGGCCAATGCGGGTGACAAGAGTAATCATTTGCCTCCTCATTTACTACTTAATATTGTAGCTAAAGGTGACTTTAGCAAGGGGGCACCCGGATTTGAACCGGGGACCTCTTGATCTGCAGTCAAATGCTCTACCCCTGAGCTATACCCCCAAGTCTGCTTCTAAACCTTCATTACAACTCTTGAACTGTGCGTCTGACTGCTGTTTCTGCTCTTAGATGCCAGCTCCGGGAGCAAGCAGCCTGCCTTACGACATCCTAGCTCTGTCATCAGCCACTTACTCATCCACCTATAAACACCTACGGACCAGCTTCTATAGCCAGACTCATCCTTCCTTCTCCTTCCGTTTTCTCTTCCTCCCTCTCTGCTCCCATTCCGTCACTCCTGTTCCATCTGTCCTACAGTGGGCAGTCATTGACTTTCCCAGCCTAACAGAACCCTGGCGCCCTCCTTCCCTCACACACTTGGGCTCTGAGGAGCGCAGAGGTCTCTGACTGGATAGAGGAACAGGTCTGGGACAAGAACGTGCCCCCCTAAAGCCAGCATCCTCCATCACCCCACAGCCTCACAGCACACTCTTCTGGAAGAGGGACTTTCGTGGCCAGGCAGGGGGAATTAAGGCACTTTGTTCTGGACCTCAGTCTCCCGAGGAAGCGAGAGTGGAGAAAAAGCCAGCTGCTCACCCGCTCAAAGCAGTAGGGGAATTCAGGTGTGCAAGCTGGGGTAGCACGGGGGTGGGGTAGCTACAAGCATCTAGATCTAGTCATGTCTTACACACGCCCGCACACACATCAACACCTGCTCTTTCTCCACAGCCTCAAGAACTTCACATTCCAGGACTGGACCCCAATTTCTAGCCCTGGGGCACCCTTAAATGTATGCCCATGCTCAGCAGGGGTTTCTTGAGAACTCAATGTGCAGAGTACAGCTCAGTGAGCCCTAGGAGTGCAAATGTAAGTAGGGGAGGCCCCAGATCACCAGAAATAAACAGGCTGGCAAGTGAGAGGTGTGTGTGGAAGCGCTGCCTCTGGTGCCGCGTGATGGGCAGCATGGCCAGGAGCACAGGCCAGTCCCTAGTCAGTCCCCGTGAGACTGGGCAAGCCAGGGAACCTCCCTGCATGTCATTTCATGGCACCTAAAAATGAGAACTGAGAATACCTTCTACCTGCCTGAAGACAGAGGGCTCATCAAGTGATCCCAAAGTACCTTGGAAGAAAAGGGGTCAATGACTCGTGGCTTGGCTCGTTCGTACCTGTATGGACACAGAGCATGTAGCATTAGCCAAACATGTTTAGGAACTCTCAGCCCTGAGGGCTCCCCAGGAAACACCGGAGACCAGCTCTTGCAGCTGAAGGTTCAGCTCTGAGAAGCTACATTTGCACCATATCCTGTTTGAGCGCTTGCTGACAGCCTAGCCCTGACCTGTGGGGCCCCTGGAGGGGGTTGGGGCTGCCAGAGCAGAGAAGCAGAATCCACAGCAGGGAAGCATGGCGCCTCCTACTCCCAAGCCCAGGGGAGCTTGGCGGAGCTATCACTGACTTGTTTACACACTCACGCCCCAGAGATGATGGCAATGTTACCATCTGCCCCGAACTCTGTTCAAGACTTTGGGAGAGGTGTGAGGGTCAGAAGGGGCAAAAGGAAGAGGCAGAGCCAGGGACCCAGGCGCCTGGATGCACAGTGCCAAATAAGACCATCAGAATGGCTAAGGACCCATCACTCCAGCTTCATAATCTGTCCAACTGAGGGCTGTTCTATAGGCAGCACCCAAGGGTGTGATTTAAGAGACACAAGAGCCAGCTGTTGTCAAAACTCCCCCACCAGGCCTGACACTACTGCCTGAACTTCCAGTTTGAATCTCATCGCTTTGATAAGAATTTGTTTTACTGAAATACAAAGGGCTCTTGGGGGATGTAGCCCAATGGGGAAGTTACCTTACTCTGCAGTGCCCGGGACCTTCCACTCACTTCACAAAATAAAGGGACTCTAACGGGGGGAAAAGGGCTGGAAATCAACATGGGAGAGAAAGGGGGCCCTGAACTTACAAGGCCAAAACCAGGCTTCCCATTTGTCCCGTTGCCTCTTAAATCTATTATGGCCCTGACAACCCTAAGACGAGGCAGGAAGCACTGGGGTCAATACCCCCTTTGACAAACGAGGAAAGAGGCTGGAGGCGGTTAAAAGATTTACCCAGATTTCTTGGCCTAACTCTGCCAGAGCTCCAAGTTCATGGGGACAGCCCCTTCCTTTAACATGACAAATCAGGCCCCAGGCAGCTGCCACCGCACCCAGGAGCTCCCTGAGGCACCCCCCTGGCATGACGGACGGGGTGCAGTCCATGGAGCATGCACCCCTGTGAACACTGAGACCTCGGGGGACGTGTCATCCACTCTGGGCTCCAGTTTCCCTTCTCCGAAGGCCAACAAAGTCAATCATGGATGTGAATACCCACGGCGGGAGGACTAGGGATGCTGGGAGTCACACTGGGCCAAGGCACACACCTGGGAAGAAACCTGGTTTCCAGGGCAGCAGCCAAGGCACCCGCATCAACACTCCGGCAGGTCTGGACGGCCCCTCTGCTGTCCCCACACACACAAGCAGGTGGCAGAATAATTCCTGACCCTCAGGAGCTGTTGGTCCCCTTTGCAACCACACACACTTACAAAAGCACTAGAAAAGTTCCATAAGGAGAAAAAAATTAAAGCTTTAAAATAACAAAGTAGAAAACTCAAATTTCCAGTGCCTGTCCTTCAGGCGCTCTGTCCACTCACTGCTTCTCGTGTTGCAGCAGGCACCAGGCCTCTGTATACAAAATAAAAACCCCAGGATCCCAATATTTCCGTGGCCCCTACTGGAGGACCCACAGTCTCTGGTCGGCTTGCCAGTCCATGGTACCCGCCTGAGTCCCCCACCAAAAGCTTGGCATCCCCTAATCCTTAAGGGGTCCTTTATAAGTCAGGAATGTATACAAGGCAGCAAAGAGGCACAAACTTAGGAAAAGAAATTGAGGCATCTGTCACCCTCATCGTCCACTGACATCAAAAAGGCCGCTGCTTCCCATGTGAATGAAAAACAAACAAACAAAAATCCCTCACACATCTTTCCAAAGCCATCCCAGAGCGAGGAGCCAGCGTCAGGCACAAGGAGAAAGGCCACAGGCGGAGAAGGTCCTGCTGGGGCCCCTGCGGCCCCTGCCTGCTCAGCCCTCCTCGGTGCGCCTGGGCCGGGGTCTGGACGGGCTGCCCGGGCAGGCGGAGGCGGCCTGGCCTCGGGTGTGGGTCTGCATGTGGATGGCCAGGTGATGGTTCCGGTTGAAGGCCCGGCCGCACTGCGCGCACTGGTAGGGCCGCTCGCCCGTGTGGATGCGCTGGTGCCGGAAGAGGTCGGAGGGCCGGCGGAAGGCCTTGCCGCAGTAGGGACAGGCGGGCCAGCCCTGGCTGTTGCCCGTGTGCAGGCGCTGGTGCAGCAGCAGGCTCTTCCGCTGCGGGAAGAAGCGCAGGCACTCGCTGCAGTGGTACACCTTGGTGGCCACGGGCCTCCGCCCCACGAAGGGGCGGCCCGCCAGGGAGCGGCGGCCCTCGGGCTCCTCGGGGAGCCAGCGGATGACAGGGCCGGGCACCACCACCTCCCCGGGCTCCAGCGTGGAGTGCGCCTCCCCCCACGCGGGGGGCGAGCTGCTCCGGCCCTCCCGGGGCTCGTCCTCCACGTGGGTGCGCTGGTGAATGGTCAGGTTAATCTTCAAGCGGAAGCTCTGCCCGCAGTCGGGGCAGGGGAAAGCCCGCTCCTTCCGGCGAGGGAGGACGCGGGGCGGCTCCCCCGCGGTTCCAGCCGGCCGAGGGTCCCCTGTCCTCGCCCTTGGCACTCCCTGGGCATGAAGTCGGCGGGGACCCCCAGGCCTGCTCTTGGGCCCCTTGGGGAGTCTCCTCTCCGCCTGGCTGGGGGGCTGCCCCAGGAGAAGCTGCTCCGGCATCGCCTCGTCCTCAGACTGTGCTTCTGTCTTGATGACCACGCTGCCGCCCCCACCACCTACGGAACGGAATCGCCACTGTTTTCAAGTGGGCCAAACCCGGCCACCCCCAGGCCCCTTGCCCCACTCCTCCGCCTTCACTCAACCCTCTCCTCCAGGGCTCGGCCCGCAGCTCGGGCCTGCGTCCTGCTCACTCTGTCCCGCCTAGCAGGCACCGCTTCCATCCAGGGTTTGCTGCTGTGCCGCCTACGCTTGTAGGCCAAGCTAAGGACATCAGGAGAGAGGGGACAAAGATGAGAGCCGGGAGTTAGGGAGCCGCGAGGTCGGGGGTCAGACCAGCAGGCGACACACAGGTGGGAAAAGAAGGGGCAGCAACAAGAGGCAGAGACCCTGGACACTGAGATGCGCTGGCTGGCTCGGTCCCACTCAGAGCTCTTCATCCACCTTAACAAACCACACTGAGCACGCGCCACTGCCTGCACCGCGCTCTCAGGTGGCACACAGGAGGCACTGGGCCTCAGTGTGGGTCACACTTGACTTTGAGGCGGGACTGAGGCAAAGAGGCCGCCCAGACAGAGCAGTGAAAAGGCGGGGCTGAGGTGGGCGGTCTCAGCAGCAGGTCCCTAACGCTGGGAAGAAAGGTCCTGGCCACCCGGCCCTGCTTAGAGCACTGTGCCTTCTTCCGGATTCTCCGACTGCTGTTCTCCTCTGGTCTTCTCTGCAGCCAGTCCCCCACCACTCTCTTCTCTGACCTCCCCCAGCAGCTGGTGGCCTGAGCTGCGAGAACACAAGGTCTGAGCAAGGGCTGACCAGGAACCTTGCCCTCTGCATATTCAAACGAAAATCTTCAGCCCTTTACGGCAACTTTCAAGGTCTAGGACCAGAGTCCTTGCTGCTCTTGCTAAAGCTTGAACTTAAGCCAGGAGCCGGGAGGACAGCCCTTCCTTGGTGACCCTCCAGGGCAAGACCTTGGGTTCTCTGCTCCCTGCAGCTTACCCGTAACCCTCACAAAGAACTCAAGACAGAACTTTATTTCTATGTTAGAAATGGTCCACTGTTACTAACTTCGTCCTACAGATACTGAAGCATTAAAAATCTGTAAAAATCGTCTAAACTTTGGGTAAAACATTATTGCATTTAACGGGCTGCACTGTATTCCTGAACCTAAGGATTAGTGAAGGTCTCGGGACCCCTTCTTGGTGAGGGCCAAGGCCCCAGATCCCTTCATTGGAAGCCATTTGCAGCTCGGTCCCCACCATGCCACAACCCCACGATGGACCCAAATCTCACCTCTGCCTCCCACCAAAGCAGGTGCCAGATGGAACCAGTGGAGAGCTGCATCCCTTTCTACTGGGACAGAAAACCTACCCCAAGGCCAGGATGAGCAATAACTGCTTTCTTTATCCTGCTCATCAGAGTGTTAGCCCAGTTTATAGAAGATGTAGACTCTAAGAGGGAACTAAATTTAAATTGCAGGCCATCACATGCAAACTATAAGACACTGGGCCACTTCACTGGGTGGCCGTGAGGCCTGTCACCAGATCACAAACCAGGCAGCATGTAGCTTGTTTCTGAACAGTGACTTTCCAGCCAGGCCAGATCATAGTGAGGGAAGACCAGGGCCACAGGGGGTCTGGGTCCTGGGGGTAAGGCGGGGACGCCTCAGGAGGGAACCCCTCACCAGGTCCCATCATACCAACCCTCAGGCTACTCCCTAAGGGGCCCCGAGCTTCTCTGAGGCTCTGCTGTGGCCTCAGGGCCCACTCCCTTCACTCACCTGGCCCCATGCTGGGCTGGACGTCCCTGGGAGGGGAGGTTGGTGACTCCTCATCTGAAGATTCTTCCTCCTGTTTAACCGAGGACAAAACGCTGGTGCTGGCTGGGGGCCCTGCAGAAGAGAACCTTATGAGGGCCTTTCTCAACACCAGGATGTGCATGGTGACACAGCCATCCCCTAGCAGGCCCTGGATATACTCTAGTGCCTGCCAGGAAGAGGGGGGCCCCAGCTCTGTCCAGGGGACTGTAGGTGCCCACTCCACAGCCTCTATTTCAGAGGTGACAGGAGAGCTGTAAAGGCCACGCCCCCAATTCCCACGTGGGCCAGTGCCAACGACAGGTCCCTCGGCGTCTGAATGTCACCCTGATAGGCCTTAAAAGGACAGAGGGTTTGGAGAGGCCCCTGGGGACACAGTGCCAGGTCTGCAACAGAGCAGGGACAGTAAGAGGGTCCTCTCTCTCCTTACACACTGGCTGGGAAGGAGGGACACGAAAGAACAGAGGGGGTGTCACCTCCAACCTCAGGAAGCCCATATGCAGTGGGGGATATGCACAGTAATAACTGCAGAGAAAGACCCAGAGACTGAAAAGTCAGGCCAGCAGGAGGAGGAGGCATAGGGGAACAGTCTGGAGACAGGAAACAAGGCTCTGGATCACCTGCCAAATGCTAGGATAATGCCCTCGGCATTATACTCTCTTCGGTGAAAGGATAGGCAGGCGTTGCCTTTAAGCAGAAGCAGACGGAGCCATTTGAAGGGGTGACTGAAGCCACAGAGCTCCTCACAGGCTCTCCACACATATCTCCCTATTACTGTAGCCATCGTAAGAAGCCCAATACCCACTCTTGTGTGCCCTTCCCCTCACTCCAGTGGGACCAGTGGACCCGGCCCCCAACACACCTGAGGAACCCACACCTTTGCTCAGCCTGTTTTCTTCTACTGAAATCTACTCTTCCTCTAAGGCCTGTCTCAGTGGCCCCTTCCCAGGAAGCCTGTCCCACTGAACCCAGCCTCAGCACCACTCCTTCGTGCTGCTGGTCTGGTCCTGTTGCTGGGATGCCATTCACACTGCTGCCTGGCAGGCCTCACTCACCTGCGCTAGTTCCAGGTGCAGGTACTCTTTCTCCTGAGTCTTGCTGGTGCTCAGGGGCTTCCTTTTCTTTTGGCTCCTTCTGGGCAGGGCTCACTGGTCTGACAATGTGCTCTGGATATGGAGAGAGATCGTGGGAACACAAATCAGTGACCCAGAGGACAACAGAGAGTGTCCCCAGGTGGCCAGAAGCCTAAGTGCAGTCACTGGACCTGGGCCATCAGGTCAAACACAGGGCATGATAATTAAGTGGACTTCACTGGTCATCTAGTGACTACATTCTAGGCTAAAGCCTTCATGTCTGAGAGAAGGAAACAGCACAGCATGGGAACTTATCCGATAGTACCAGACGGGTCACAGAGGAGGGCCAAGGGTCTGGCTTTTTCAGGATTCCTGGCTCAGAATGCTACAACAGTGGCTCCGAATCCCAAGTCCTCCACCAGGCTGGTCCCCTGCAGAGCACCCCTAAGATTCTCATCAATAGATCTGGGTGGGCCTAGGAAGTTTATAATATAAAAAAGCTTCCTAGGGCAAAAGAGATGAACAAATATTTCACAGGAAAGAAAGTTAAAATGGCCCATAAACAACTTAACCACACTTATGATAAGAGAGGTACCATTAAAACCACACTGTTACCAAAGCCAGACACTCCAAGAAAACTATAGACCAATATCCCTTATGAACATGAATGCAAAAATCCTCAACAAACTACTAGCAAACCGAAATCAGCAGCATACTAAAAGGACTAAACACCATGACCAAGTGGAGTTTATTCCTGGAATGCAAGGATGGTTCAACATCTAAACCTAGATCATGGAATATTAACAGAATGAATGGGGGAAAAAAAACCAAGATCATCTCAATTAATGCAGAAAAAAGCATCTGACAAAATTAAACACCTTTTCATGATAAAACCAACCAACAAAGTAGTCATAGCAGGAAACTACCTCAATATAATAAAAGCCACATATGAAAAACCCACAGAGAACATCACATTCAATCGTGAAAAACTAAAAGTTTTTCCTCAAAGATTAGGAATAAGGCAAAGATGTCCACTTTTACCACTTTTATGCAACAAAGTGCTGGAAGTTCTAGCCAGAGCAATTAGGTAAGAAAAAGAAATAAAAGGCATCCAAGTTGGAAAGAAGTAAAATTATCTGTTCACAGATATGATCATGTATGTAGAAAACCCTAAAAATTCCACACAAAAAACCTGTTAGAATAAATGAATTCAGCAAATTGGAGGGTGAAAGTAAACAAACAAAAAAAGCAGTTGCATTTCCACACACTAACAATGACCAATTTGAGAAGGAATTTACAAAAACAGTCCATTTACAATAATATAAACAAGAAAGAAATACTTAGGAATAATTTAACCAAAGAGGTGAGATTATTTCATTTTTACAATGAAAACTATAAAATATTACGAAAAGAAATTATATTAATCCCCCCTTATCCCCAGGGAATATGTCCAAGGCCCCCAGGGGATGCCTGAAACCACAGAGAGTACCAAACCCTCTACAGTCAATGTTTTTTTTCCTATACATACCTACCTATGATAAAGTTTACTGTAATAAAAGTTATGTGAATGGCTTTGGGAGCCATTATCACCTAAAATAAGAGTTACTTGAACACACACACTGTGATGCCTTCACAGTTGATTCTGATAACCGAGACGGCTACTAAGTGGTTACTGGGCAGGAAGCATGTATAGCATCCTGACCAAAGGCATCCCTGGACAAAGGGATGTTCTGGGCAGGACGGAGCAGTACCACGCAAGAGTTTATGACGCTACTCAGAATGGTGCATAATTTAAAACTTATGAATTACTTCTGAAATTTTCTATTTAATACTTTCAAACCATGATTGACTGTGGGTAACTGAAATTGGGAAAAACAAAACAATGGATAAGGGGGAATAATGTAAAGACAGAAACAAATGGAAACACGTCCTGTGTGCATGGATTGGAAGCCTCCGTATTATTAAGATGTCAATACTACCCAGTGACCGACAGATTTAATGCAATCCTTATCAAAACCCCAATGGCATTGATTTTGCGGAAATAAAAAAAATCCACCCTAAAATTCATTTGGAATCCTAAAGGAGCCCAAGTATCCAAAACAATCTTGAAAAAGAACAAAGTTGGAGAACTTTCTGATTTCAAAACTTACTACAAAGCTACAGTAATCAAAACAGTGAGGTACTGGTATAAATAGAATAAATAAGTATAATAGAGAACCTAGAAATAAACCCGCACATATCTGGTCAAATGATATTTGAGAAGGGTACTGAGACCACTCAACGGGGAAAGGACAGTCTTTTCAACAAATAGTGCTGGGAAAAGTTGATATCTACATGCAAAAGAATGAAGATGGTCCCTTATCTAACATCATATAAAAATTAACTCAAAATGGATCAAAACCTAAATGTAAGACCTAAAATATAAAACTCTCAGAAGGAAACACTGGACAAAAGCTTCACAATATTGAATTTGGCAATGGTTTCTTGGATATGACACTCAAGGCACAGGCAAAAAAAAATTAACAATTAAGACTTCATAAAAAAAATTTAAATTTGTACATCAAAAGGCACTATCAAAAGAGTTAAAAAGCAATGCACAGAATGGGGGAAAATAATTGTAAATCATCTATCTAATAAGGGATTTACATACAGAATATATAGAGAATCCCTAAAACTCAACAACAACAAAAAACCAAACAACCTGAATAAAAAATGGGCAAAGGACTTGAATAAACATTTCTCCAAAGAAAATATACAAAATTTCAATAAGTTAATGACAATGGTCAATAAGGACATGAAAAGATTCTCAACATCACTAACCAAAACTACAATGAGATACTTCACACTCATCATTATGGCTACTATTAAAAACAACACCAGCAGAAAATAATTGTTGAGAGGAATGTGGAGAAAACCCGTGCACTGTTGGTGGGAATTTAAAATGGTGCAGTCACTGTGGAAAACAGTACGGTGGTCCCTCAAAAAACTAAAAATAGGATTACCATATAATTCAGCAATTCCATTTTTCATTATATAACCCAAAGAAGGCAGAGTATCAAAGAGATATTTGTATATCCACGATCATAGCAGCATTATTCACAATAGCTAAAACATGGAAATAACCCGTGTCTATTGACATGAATGGATAAACAAAATATGGTCTATCCAGTCAATGGAATATTACTCAGCCTTAAGAGGAAGGAAGTTCTTACATAGGCTACAACATGGATGAACCTGGAGGACATCATACTAAATGAAACAAGCCAGTCAAAAAAAGACAAATGCTCTAATTCCACTTATGTGAGGTACTTAGAGTAGTCAAAATCATAGAGACAGAAAGTAGGCTTGTGGTTGCCAGGGGCTGGGGAAGGGGGCAGAATGAGGAGTTATCATTTAATGGGGACAGAGTTTCAGTTTTGCAAGATAACGACAGTTCTGAAGATGGATGCACAACATTATGAATATATTTAATATCTCTGAAATGTACACTTAAAATGGTTAAGATGGTAAATTTCGTGTTATGTGTATTTGACCACAAAAAGAAAAAAAAAATAAATAAATGAAGTATCGATACACATGGATGAACCTTGAAAACATTATGCAAAGTAGAATAAGCCAGAGACAGAAGACTACGTATTATATGATTCCATTTATGTAAAAATATATACTTTAACCCATGAATTGTATGGTATGTTCATTATATCTCAATAAAGCTGTATGTTTTTTTGGGGGGTAGCGGGGGAGCTTTTTACACACTTTTTGTAAACCAAATGCAATACGCAGATTGGTTTATTACAAATAGGATCCAAACACATAAAGAAAACATTTTGATGCAGTTGGAGAAAACAGAGCATGTACTAGGTATCACATGTGAATCCGTTGGGTGTGATAATGGTATTTTGGTTTAGGAAAAAGAAGAGATGGGATGAAGCAAATGTGGCTAACTCTTGATTGTCACTGAATCTGGGTGATGACCATTTGGAGGTTCACTGTGCTGTTCTCTCTACTTCCGTTAACTTTTCAAAATTTTATTAAAACTCCCCAGAAGATTCTGATATGCAGTCAACTTTGGAACCACTGTCTATATACACCAGCTGTGGGGACGACGTTGGCCCCAGGCCCCTCCCCCAAGAGAGTTCATTTCCACAAAGGGAAGACAGTACGTTATGTACCTTACAGCTGCAGGTGACAGCTGGGGGGACAGAGGTAGAGGGGGAAGTAGGAGGCGGTGGCGACAATGCGGCTGCTACTAGCATGACTGTTAGTAATAAGTCCTCACTTACTATAAATGCTCAGCTTTACACAGCCATCGCACTTGGTCCTCATAACCACCATGTGAGGGGGATACGCTGTCCCTCGCACAGATGCAGACACTGGCTGGCTCTACGGCAGGAGCCCTGCCGCTGCCCGGCTGGTCGGCCTGGGACAGAGCGTGCCCTGCTTTGGCTTATGGGCCTGTGCTCCCTTCCTGGCCTCACAGCACGTCTGGGAAGCCCAGGAGATTGGGAACATGGTTCCGTTTGCCCCAGCCAGTCCCCATCTTGCCCCCACTTACCAGCGCCCAGACTCCTTGGACACGCTGCCTCCCTCTCTTTTTCCTCCTCCTGGCCCCACAGACCTTCAGGACAAGGCTCCTCTCCCCTCTCCAAGCGGGTGAGGATGTCTGGTTTGGAGATGGCATAATCTGTGTACAGAATGGAGAGAGCTGGGTCGGGACTGGACACCTGCCACCCAGTTGCCCAGAGATGCAGAGACACTAGTGGAACAGAAGCCAAAGCAGGGATACAGACTGCAGAGGCCCAGATCCCTACTCCGCGGCCTTACCCAGGGAGACCAGCGTCTCGTAGTTGCCCCTCATCACGTGCTTATAGAGCTCCTTCTGCCACTCGTCCAGCTTGCCCCACTCCAGCTCGGAAAAATACACGGCCACGTCATCAAAGGTCACGGGCACCTGGAACCACAAGTGTCATGCATACTCACCCACACTGACAGGCACGGCCCCTCCGGCTGTCCCACCCCAGGTGCCCAGGCTTACCTTGGGGACCTCCCCCTTGCTGCCCGGGGGCAGCCGCAGGACCCAGAAGTTCCTGTTCCTCAGCAGGTTCTCCATGTTCTCCAGCCGCCTCTGCAGCAGCCCGTACTCCTGCAGCAGGGTCCCCAGCACGGCCCACTTGCCCTCCAGCTGGTTCCCGAACTCCACGGCTGTCTTCTCACAGTCGGCCAGCTTCTTCTCGGCTGTCCCCGTCCGCCCCTCCAGAGTCAGCAAGCGGGTCAGACAGGAATCCACCTTCTTCTCCAAGGCCTGGATGGCGGCCACCACGGTCCACAGTGTGATCTCCGTGGAGTAGAGGTATGAGTTCTCAGCAGCCGGCTGGGGCGATGGAGGTGTTGAAGGCTTTTTGTCCCCTGTTTGCTTGTCCCTGTCTGAAGCCTGTCCACAGAGGAAAAAGATGTTATCAGAATTTTACAATCAAATGTCCACCTCAAAAAGAAACCTCAGAATGGTACCTGCCCAGGTCAAGCCTCGTCTAGGATGT